CTTCTATAAAAAGTTGATATGATTTAGGAAGAAGAGTATTATTTGAGTATTTTTTGATATAAGAATTATAAAGTGAAGTGATATCTGAGTTTGTAGAAATATTTTTGATTTTGATAATATTTTTTAGTTGTTTGTAAAGAGGTAATAGAGTAGATTTTGAGTGGTTAATTAGATCTGAATTTGTTTTGACTTTATTGTATAGTATATATTTAAGAGCTACTTTGTTAATATATTTTTTAATTCAGTATCATATATTGTTTAGATTATTAGTATTTGAGATTTTGTTTATATAAGTGAAGAGATTAGTAAGATTTTGTTCTGTATGTTGTTGATATTTTTCAGAAAAATTTAAAATTTAATTAATGTTGTGCTGTCATTTACTTAGCTGAAACTAGAAAAAAAATGTTTACAGCATATTGTAGCTGTGGCCACGATGAGCTTTCAATTTTTCTAGTTATTACACCTACCTGTGAGAACATATAAGAGGCACGACAAACACAAATAAACTCTAATATATGTTATGGTTATAATAAGGTAATTCATAGTAGAACCTAAACCAATAACATCGAGTTTAAAATATCGAAATATTTTAAACATTCACCTAGTAGAGAGGTGACGAAGATTAAAATATTAAAAAATTTTTAAAAATCCATCTAATAAATAGTTTTATAAGATATAAAAAAAGTAAATTCGATATTATACTCAAAGCTTACACTGGTAACAGCTTCCCTATTTAGATAATTAAAATTTTAATAATATTAATTAACTTACATTTAGATTTGCTTAGGCGGGTAGGTTTGCTTGCTTTTGCTTGCTTTGGTAGGTTTGCTCTTACTTTGGTGGGTTTGCTTGCTTTGGTGGGTTTGCTTGCTTGAACTCGCTATACAAAAACTTTCTGCTTAGCTAATTTAATTTTCTTCAAAAATATCATCAAAGACACAAAGACGTTTTCAATAAACCACAGAAAAGTCATCAAGCATCATGAAACATCATCAAAAACTTCACAAATGTTGTCAAGGACTCCACAAACGTCATCAAAGACTTCACAAATATCGTCAAAACTCATCAAGAAACTGTGAAGAGGTCTGTAAAAAAATTAACCACCGTAGAAAAAAATCAATCTCTTAATATTTGCCGATAATCTTTTCTTGTTTTGTACATATTGTTGGGGAAAAAAACATAGAATTAGGAGAACAAACATAAACTACTGGTCAATACTTTGCTTTAAGCATTAAAGATCGTTATCGAAAGAAGTTGGGGAATAGGCGAAAAATTAATAAAAAGCAGATCTACGTGTTTACATCATAGCGGGCTTTATTATGATTGGTTGATTTGAATTTAGTATCAGTTCTGTGTAACATTGCGTACATCAATTAATTTTGAGTAAAGTTATTGTTTTTTTTATTAAGTTTGTTTTGAATTTCCAAGAGAGTTTGGTCCTTTTTCTTTTTTGTATTAAGATTTTTGATTTTACTTTTGAGGAGTATTAGAATAGTATTTAGGTTTGAATTTGCTTCTATAAAAAGTTGATATGATTTAGGAAGAAGAGTATTATTTGAGTATTTTTTGATATAAGAATTATAAAGTGAAGTGATATCTGAGTTTGTAGAAATATTTTTGATTTTGATAATATTTTTTAGTTGTTTGTAAAGAGGTAATAGAGTAGATTTTGAGTGGTTAATTAGATCTGAATTTGTTTTGACTTTATTGTATAGTATATATTTAAGAGCTACTTTGTTAATATATTTTTTAATTCAGTATCATATATTGTTTAGATTATTAGTATTTGAGATTTTGTTTATATAAGTGAAGAGATTAGTAAGATTTTGTTCTGTATGTTGTTGATATTTTTCAATTTGTGATAGTTGAGTAAAGTTATATTTGTAGATAGTTCTTGTGTAAGGGCTTAGTATAGAAGATGTTTTGATAATAATTGTTGTTTCAAGAGAGATAGTTAAGTAATCTGAATTTAAGAATAGGTTTAGAAGGATTTCTAAGTAAATATTTGTTCATATCTAATCAATTCTGCTAGTACTATTATTATATAAATATATAAATTTTAGAGTGGTGAAATAAAATAATCAAAAAGTATCATAGAAGTTGTAATGTTTAAGAATTTGAAGAAGTTGGTTTTCTGAAGTGCTATATTTTTTAGTTAGAAGTCTATGTAAAGGATAAAGGTGAGTTAAAAGTATCTATATCAAGTTGTATTTCTGTTTTACTAGTATCTTGTTTTATAAGCAAGTTAGCAATATTGTAGAAAGAGTTATTAGAGTAAGATTTGATTTTGTGAGTAGTGAATTTGATATTTTTCTTTTGAATTAGATAGTTGAAAATATGAATAATATCTCAGTTATTTGTTTTAGTTTGAGTTAGATAGTCATAAGGTAAGTTGTTTTTGAGTATTTTAATTGTAGCTAGGTTATCAAAATATATATGTATACTGTAATTTGAGAGTATAGCTAGAAATAAGTAGATAAGTATTATGAGTTTTGCTCTTGTAGAGTTTGGTATATTTAGTATAGATATGTTTAATTTTATTTGAATATTATTTTAGAGAATCTAAGTGATACCTGTTTTGATGTTAAATATTTGAGTGTTTTTAATTGAAGTATCTGTATAAAAGTAAAGGTCTGCAAAGTTGTGAGAAAGTATTTGATTATATAGGTTTATTAGTTAGACTTAGTATAAATAGTTTATAATAAAGTTTGGATGAGGATAATATTAGATAGAAAGATTATAATATTTAGTAATATGAGTATTGTGAGTTTGGTTAAAGAGTAGTAAATATTTTGTAGTACTTGTAATTCTTGTTAGTTGATGCTAAGTTTGAATTGATTATTTTCTTTTTGTATTTTGCATTCTATATTGATTGTTCGGTTATAGTTAGTCTGTATTTTGGTAGATATTAAGGAGATAAGAATTGTATTATTATTTATTGAAGTGATTTAGTAATTTTGGAATATTATTTGAGTTTGTGAGAAGTTAATTATTTTTCAAATTTGAAAGTTTGGAGGTAATATATGAAGAATCTAGAAGTTTTTGTTAGAATTTTGTAATATAATAAGATTGAATATATTTAGAAAAAGATTTGTTAGTTCTAGATTTAAGTTAGGCCAAATCTCGAGTATTAGTAGTGATATTGTTTAGGTTTGCTATATGTTTATACTATTTAGATATTAGATCTCAAGAGGATTTATAAGTTCAAAAACAGATATTTTTCTATGAGAGAAGATATTAATTGTTTGCTATGAGTAGCTGTTTCTAAAACTAAGAGTCATTGCAGTATTAGAGTTTGAAAAAAGGTTATAAATAGAGTTTAGTTTTTTGGTTTAATTATAGTATTGAAGATTTTTAAGAAAGAAGCTATTTAGTAAGATATTGTTTTTGTATATAGAGATTAGTTAATTAATAATTTTAAAGTTTTAAGTTTTTCTTTGGTTGAAAAGAATAATCTTTTTTGTTAATACTAGTTGCTATATTTTGGTTAACTATTCTTTAATACAAGCTTGAATGATTTAAGTAAAGAGTATATTTGAGTTTAGATATCTGTTTATATTGTTGCTATTTGTTAAAAGTAAAAGTTTGTTTAGAGTTAGTATATTAAGTAGTTGAGAGTTTGTGAGAATATTATTATTTGTATTAGTTAGTAGAAATAGCATATGTTTAATACTTTTAGTTAAAGTGCTTGATAGTTAGTTAATTTTTTTCTGAGAGAGGAAACAGATTTAGAAAAGATATTTAATAGATAGTAATAAGATTGAGTTAAATAATTTTAATATATAGATTGGAAGGAGTTTTTTGAATTGAACTAGATATATAAATTAGTTTATTTTGTTAGTAATTATATTTATTGTTAGTTTAGATAAACTATTTCTATCTAAGAATATATTAAGGGTAGGAGGTATATAGATAATTTTTCATATAATCATTATAATAAATTAAAATTTTAGTAAAAATTTGAAACATGCTACTAATAAAACTTTTTATAGTTTTATTTAATTTTAATC